CAGTAACGATTTTAACAAGATGTCCTAGATTCAAGGCATAGGCATGTGGGTCAGTAAAGAAATGAAAGAGTAACCAAAGCACTTTCATAGTAAAATCATAAGAGTATATGCAATGCAATCACGTTTTAAAACCAGCAAAAGTTAAAAGGGAAGATATAAACATAACAAGGAAAGAACAGAAAGCAAAGAATCCTAGCCTCATTTTTTTAAAATAAATTATTAGGATTTTATTATTATTATTATTTTATATATTTAGGTTTGTCTAATCTATAAGCTCTTAGCAAACAAGTTAAATTTTATTAATTACAAAATTTGTAATTAATTTTGCATTAAATACACTCAGAAAGGGAGTACCCCACCCACAGGATATTCCCCGGTTTTTCTCCTCACTGCTGCCCCTAAAACTCCTCTGTTCAGATCTACACCCACAGGAGACTGTGCAGCAGAGTCGATGGAAAACTGAGAAGGCCGGCGATGGAAAGGAGAAGAGGAAGATCCTAGGAGGTTGTTTGGCTGCTCCGAGACAGAGAGGAGAAGACGTGCGGCTACTGAGAAGCGACGGCGAGCAGATCTGGAGATCGGAGGTCCACTAGAGTGATGATACTCGGAAAAATGGTAGAGCCGAGAGAGAGCCTGTGGATGAGCGGTGATGATGGTGGACGCGGATGTGCAGGAGGTGAAGAGACTTCCCTGGTCCGAGCGGAGAAGATGATTTTGATGGTCAGAGAAGACTTTGACCGGACTCGTATACCTGGCGAACGGGTCGAATTGGGTGTGTTTAGATTGAGTAGTCTCGGATCTTGAGTTTGTTCGATTGCGTCATTTTGGGTATAGATTGAATGGGTAGTAGACCATGATCCATCAACACAGTCTCGGATTGACTCAGGGGGATTCCATTTTTAAAAAATTAAAATTAAAATTAAAATTTTTTTATTTTTTTTTAAATTTTTTTAACAAAATCTATTACTAATTAATTATTTAGTGGAAAAAAACTTTATTAAATGTTAATTTTCATTTTATAATTCAATTTTCATTTCAATTTCAAGAAAATAAAATGAAAAAATTACTAGTTATATAGGTGAAATTAAAATATATGTCAAATATATAATCTCTATACAATATTTAAAATTTATAATTTCATAAAAGAATTAACTTTTATTAAAAGAAAAAACATAAAAAATTAGAGTTTAAAAGATAAATCCAATATATATGTTATTAATATCTAGTGTGTATTTAATATTTATAAGATATTATACAAAAAATACAATTCTATTCAATATTTAAAAGAGTATCATATAAAAAATATAGTCATATTCAATATTAAAATTTAAAAAGTAAATTTAAAATATGTCTAAATAAATACAAGAAGAAATTGGATCATGATTGATTTTTATTAAATAGAAACAAATTAGTAATTTAGAACAAATAAGAAACTAAGATCAAACCTTAATGTTTTTTATGTTCTTGTCATTATGCTTCTAATAATGTGAGAGCACCTTGCTCACTGACTTTTGATTTTTAGTAGGTATACTTGCTTTCTTTTAAAAAAATATATATTTTTTTGACAACATCATATGATACAACGCAATATGTGCCACTTAATTTGATTTTTGACACACATGCCACCAAAGAGAAGGAGTAAAGAGCTTGATGATGAGAACTCCAAAAAGAATAATGAGACCCACAGCACGATAAGGGATTTCTAAACTTCAAGAAAGCTAAATTAGATTTATAATAGAACCTTCACCCGTTGTTTATGTCGCAATAAGAACCAAAGGTAAAAACCTTGATCCGTTGTCTATGACGCAACAAGAACCAGAGGTATAAAGTTGGTTGACGCCACACCCTCGAACGATTAAGAACGAGAATGATAAGTCAGGTTAGAACGCCACAAGAATAATCTTGATAAGTTCTGTAAAGTTCTGAAACGAACCAAAGAGAAAAGTCTCTCAAAATCTCAGATTCAATAGCCTCTTCTCCATTAGGGTTACAAGCCTTTTTAAATAGAGAAAACAAATCCTAATCAAAATAGGAAATTAACACCCTAAGTCTTAAACCTAATAACCACGAATTGGGTTTCAAATAAGCAAATGTTCAGTTCAAAAATAATACAAGAATATGAAAAGCACTAAAAATAACCTAAAATAACACGAAATATCAGTTTGCTACAAATTGTGGCAAAACTGTGCGATTTTGACGCAAACTGTGTAATTCTGTGCAAATGACCTCAACTAAGCTTCTCTTGAACCTAAATGATGTTTACCATGCCTTGATAATCATTCAAGCTTCGATTTGCGTGTTTTATGTTGTTTTCAACCCAGATCTGCTCAATAAGGCCATTTAAAGCTTCACGCATCTTCTTAACTCTAGCTTGCGTGACTGGACCTCCTTGGGTGTGTAATGGATCACATGACGTAGTAGACATGTTGTCGTCTTGATTCCCATCACTCGAGATGAAGAAGGGGAGAGTAAGAGTGGAGAAGAGGAAAAGTTGAGAGAAAAAGAAACTAACAAGAGGTTAGGGTTTATGTATTTTATTTATTTCTACTTTTAGGATTAGGAAATTAGAAATTTAAAATTAATTTTTAAATAATCTAATAAAAAAATAAAAAAAATGTTTGAGTCATTTTGGGTGACTCAACCCACCCGTGACTTAACCCATTTGGGTTCAGATAATTTCAGTTTGGATCATTTCGTATTTCGAATTAACACATAAGATCCATCACCCGATCCAAAATGGATGGATTAGGTCGGATTTTCGAATTGGATCCAATTTGGCCAGGTCTAAACCTGAGAGAGGGATACTAAAAATTTACTTTTAACCCTTTATTTTATTAAATTTATAAATTTTAATTCTTTACTTTATATTATAATATTTTTAGTCTTTTATTTATTAGAATTAAATAAAATAACCTTTACTTATAATATTTTATTAATTTTATTAATTGATTATTAATTTTATTAACCGACAATTAGTTGACTGTTAATTGATAAAAACTTATTTTCAGTTAATAAAGTTAATAATTAGTTAATAAAATTATTTTATTAATTAACTATTAACTCTATTAATTAACTATTAACTCTATTAATTGATTGTTAGCTGATTATTAATTAGTAAAAATCTATAATAATTAGTTAATAAAATTATTTTATTAATTAATTATTAACTCTATTAATTAACTATTAACTCTATTAATTGATTATTAACTGATTATTAATTGGTAAAAATCTATTTTCAGCTAACAGAGTTAACAGTTAATTAACAAAACTAATGAAATATTATAAAGTAAATGTTATTTTCTTTAATTTTAATATGTGAAAAGTTAAAAGTGTTATAATATAAAATGAGAAATTAAAAGTTACAAAACTAATAAGTTAAAGGGTTAAAAAGAAGTTTTTGCCAATAGTAGTTAGCCTCAGTTCTAGCCAGTCCTATATTGTATTGGATCTTTATTGTGGGCTGGACAATGATGCCAATTTACTGTTTAGGCAATACTTTTTTTTTTTTTTTTTCATTTCTTCACAAGTTTTTCCTGAATATGCTCCGATTTTATTTTATAAGGGTTTCTTTATAAATGGCAAATTTTTATTCTTTAACATAATTTTTGAAATATTTTTTTTACTCAAAAAAACGAACGGTCCACAGTAGCAAAATTTTGGCCCTTTGCCTGGGGTGCTTGACTGTACTCGGCAAAATTGTACTCGATCTAAAATTCGACCCAATTCATTCGTGAAGGATAGGATCATGGATTTTATTTGTTAATTTAAAATTTGAAATAATTTAAATTGAAATTATTTGAACTTAAATGAGTTGGATCATGGGTTGATCGAATCACTCAAAATGATCTAATTTTTTTTATTCATTGTTTATTAAATTACTTAAAATTTAATTTTAAAATTTTAATTTTCTACTCTAAAAGTAAAAATAAATAAAATACTTAAACCCTAACCACTCATTAATTTCACTTTCTCTCAACTTTTCCTCTTCTCCACTCTTGCTTCCCTTTTCTTCATCTCAAGCTCTCTAATCTTTCCAATGGCACTCGTGTAAAAAATTAAATTAGGTAACACATAGTGAGTTATGTTATATGACATCGTAAAAAAGATCACTTTTTTAAAATAAAAAACAAGAATGCCTACTGAAAATCAAAATCTAGTGGTTGAGGTACTCTCATAACCATTAGAAGTACAATGATAAGAACATCAAGAACATCAAAATCTGTTCTTAGTTGCAAACTTGTTTTTAATTAATAATTTATTCCTAATTAATAAAAATCAAGTCTGATCCAATTTCTTCATGTATTTGATTAGACATATTTTGAATTTGCTTTTTAAATTTTAATATTAAATAAGGCTATTTTTTTGTATAATGCCATTTTAAATATTAAATAGAACTATATTTTTTATATAATACACCTATAAATATTGAATAGCTACTAGATATTAATATATATATATATATATATTGGATTTGTCTTTTGAATACACGTGAAAGCCAGCGCTCCACTTGTTTCTTTATCATTTTTCCACGCCTTATATTCCGCCTCAACTCTACAATACCATCTTTCAGTTCGTTTAGCTCTTCCATGCTCTCTATGAGTGTATTCTTATT